CGCCAGATTTTGCAGGATCCTGCAGCGTCAGGGTTGCACTGACCCGGGCTAGCGTGCAGGATCCTGCAGGATCCTGCATGTTCTTGCAGGTTCTGGCAGGATCCTGCAAAGTCTGACTGACACAGGTTTGCATTGACCCGAGTCAGCGCCTCCCCGAAAGCAAGGCACACACGTGTATACACTATAAATGAGTTTGCCAATTTGCCGCCCCCCCCTTTCCCCCCCAGAGCTCAGACCCTCACCTCGATGATATATCGCGCCTTTCCCGGCACCGCCCTCCAGCGTCTCGCAAGCGGCCCCAGGAAGCCTCAAGACGGCTCGGAACGCCTCCGAGACAGCCCAAAGGGCTTTGAGGTTCCCACGAGTACCGAAGAGAACGCCAAGAAACCTCCAACAGGGTCCCAAGACCGTTCAAATGAGCTCCGAAGAAGCCCGAGAGATGCCAAAATCTGTCAACGAAAACCTACGCACATTTATGTTCGTTGGTGTTCCCGCAGTTTCGCCTCCGATACGCTTTCGAGGCTTGCTCGTGATCCCCAAGGGGGCTCCAAGATGCTCCCAAGAGGCGCCCAGAGCGCACCCAAGGGTCTGCGAGAGGCCACCAGAGATTCCCGTGACGCCCGAAGAAGCACCAACAAGGCTCCAAAGACGCTCCCAAGAGGCTCCGAAGAGCCCTCAGGAGGCGCCCAAGAGGTTCCCAAGAGGCTCACAAAGCCCCCTAAGAGCCCCCAAGAGCCCCCCAGAGGTCCCCAAGAGGCCCCAAAAAGCTCCAAGAGGCCGAAGAGACGCCCCCAAGAGGCTCCAAGAAGGCTTTCAAGACGCCTCAGAGAGCCCCCGGGATATACCCACCAGTCATCCAAGATGGCGGCGAACTCGGAGGAGGCGTCTCCTCTCTCCTCTTCCCTCTTCAGGCGGTTTTCCAGCCTCGGGGTACTTTCCAGCAGTTCAACTGCTGGAAAGCACCCAACTGCTGGAAAGCACCCAACTGCTGGAAAGCACCCCGAACGCCCTCGGCGAGGCGCAACTGTTGCGCCTCGCCGAGCGTCCAGCGACAACCCCGTCAGCCCTGCCGTGGCAGGCTTCGGGGCTCGCTGAGTCGCTGGCAGACCGTCGGTTTCTCCCCGTCTGCCGGGAGAAATCCGCGCCGGTCGGACCAGTGGCGGCATGTTATCGAAAGAAAGAAAGAAAGGGGCAGTGTGCACATTTTTGCACATTTCGTAGTCGGTGGTTTTGGCGCATTCGGGAGCTAGAGGTATCCAGAGGTCTCCAGAGCCCGCGGCGACGAGTCTCCAACTGATTAGTCGGCCCCCGTTCACCTCGCAAGCACGCCCTGCTACTTCGGTGATGTGATGTGATCGGAGGGAACGAGCCCCCACTCCCCGATCACGCCGTTTATCGCGAATGGGTTCGGACAAAAACGAGGAAGGGGTGAGGGCTCCTTACCGATTCCCCTGATCCTTACTATTTGTCCTCACCCATTCCTGGTCCCTCCTGCAAGGGGCATTCCAATGGGTGCGGTTACGCCAGGGTGTGGTTTGTGATCGGCGCCGTTGGGGCATTGGGCGTCACCACGTTGTGCTAAATTTTTGGTGATCCGTCGAGGTCCTCGCCCCCGGCGCGTCCCAGAGAGGTTTTGAGGATACCAAAAATAGCGCACTGGGACATATTCATTACCAGTGGCGCGCTGTTTTTCAAACCCTGGACTTTTTGAGGGTCAGGGACGACGTCGGGGTGGTGTGGTGTATAGTTTTTTCCCCGTCTTCCGGTGGAAATGACGAAAATGTACACACCAGCTTCCCATATACGCCAGGATCCGCTTTCCTGTGCGAGTTTCAGTGCAGGGCCGGAAAAAAGTGTCGGTGTATAGAGTTCGGTTCCGTGAAAAGCACTAATGTTTCCAAGGTGTTTGAGGGTTGTTGTGGGTGTGCTTCGCTCTTCTTGGCTTCGGAATGCCCAAGACGGCCCACGAGGCCTCCCAGAGGCCCCGAAAGAGAGCGCCAAGACGGCTCCAAGACGGCCTGAGAAGGCGTCGGGGAAGGCTCCAAGAGAGCGCAAGAGGCTTCAAGACGGCCCAGGAACGCCCCCTCTACGGCCCAGGAAGCTGCCGAAGAGGACCCAGTATGAGCCGAAGACGGCCCAGAAGGGTACCATGAGCGCCCACGATGGCCTCAGCACGGTTTAGGAGGTCCCCGGGAGAGCTCACGCTAAGACGGCCCACGAGGCCTGCCGGAGCCCCCCCCAAGAAAGCGCCAAAACGGCCCCAGAAGGCTGCGAGACGGCCCAAGAAGGTTCCAAGACAGCCCAAGAAGGCGTCGGGGAGGGTTTCAAGAGCGCAGTAGGCCTCAATACGGCTCAAGAGGCTTCAAAGACGGCCTAAGATACCCCCAGGATCGCCAAATAGAGGCCCAAGCGTTCAAGATGGCCTCAACACGACGGCCCAAAGGGCCCCAAAGACGCCCCAAGAGGGCTCCAAGAGGGCTCCAAGAGTATTCTTTAGAGGGCCCAACGAGGCAACAATCAATAATTCGTGGTGGATTTCGGATTGATTTTAGTATTCTTGCTTTTTCAGGCTTCCAACGCTCCAAGACGGCCCGTGAGGCGGCCAGTATCGCAGCGAGACGCACAGAGAGGTCGTCAAGGGGGTTCCAAGACAGCCCAAGATCGCCCCAAGACGGCCAAAAGAGCTCCCCGAGACAGCCCAAGAGCGCCCCAAGAGGAGCACAAGAGGGGGAGTTCGAACTGACATCTCGAGCCCTCCGCCCCAGGAGGACCCCCGAGATCGCCAGGAGGCGCTCTAGAGGCTTCCAAGAGTCCCCCAGGAGACCCCGAGAGGCTCCGGAACGGCCACCGGGAGGCTTCCAAATTGCTTCCAAGAGGCCCCCGAGAGGCCTCCTGTCTAGACCCCACCAGACATCCATGAGCGCACTTTGGTCCACAGCCCAAGGCGCGGCCGCTGACTGTCTTTCGGGTGTCGACCGCGTTGTAGTGCTACTGCGTGCTCCCTCCCAGCCCTGGGGTCGGTGGTCAGCCCTCTCGGTCAGTCCAACAAGACGCCCAAGTCCTTCCAAGAACAATGGGAAGCGATTGGTGTTTAAGATCTCGCTTTTTCGCACTCGATGGGCCTCTGATGCCTCCAGATGGCTTCCAGACGGTCCAAGAAGCTCCCGAGACGGCCCAAGAGGCGCCTGCCTGAGAGAACCTCCGTACAGGTCCCAGGAGCCCTTTCCCCCGACCCCCGCCCACAACGCCTCTAAGAGGCTTTCCGAGGCGCGCAGTCGGCCCAACGTTCCCGGAGGTCTCTGTCGGAACCGATGTTTGATGACGACGATGGCAATGTTCATGGTCATCGTGACAGCGTGCAATATGATCGCGGTGATGTTGATGATGATAACGACAGTGGCGACGATGGTGGTGATGGTAATGGTGATGGTGATGACGGTGATGATGATGATGATGTTGATGATGCTGATGATGCTGATGCTGCTGCTGATGATGATGATGGTGATGGTGGTGGTGATGATGATAAACATGATGATAACGCTGCTGAAGATGACGATGAGGATGATAATGACGACGACGATGATGACGATGATGAAGACAATATTGATGGTGATGATGATGACAATGTCGTTGAAGACGTTTGCATGATGGCCTGATGATTCTGGCGACGGTTATTGTGATGGTGATGGTGATGGTGATGATGAGGACGAGGATGAGGAACGACTATTGTGATGACAATGTGCACGAAGGCGATGATCATGACGATGATGACGATGATGGTGATGGTGATGGTGCTGGTGATTCCGATGACGATGATGAGAACGATGATGAGGATAAGGATGAGGATGATGACGACGACGATGATGACGATGCTGAGGATGACGACGACGACGATGATGACGATGACGGCGGGATCACCTTGGCGACGGTGGCGGCGACGGCGGCGACGACGTCCAGATCATGATGATGATCATGTCCGTGCTGTTCATGATTATGCGGATGCTGATGGCGACCATGCCGAAGAAGGTGGTGATGGTGATGATGGTAATAATGATGCTGAGCATGGTGCTGATGATGCTGATGATGGCGATGAGATCATGAGGAGAAGGATGATGACCATGAAGAAGAATAGTACCATAATAATATGGTGATGATGATGATGATGGCATGGGTGCCGATGGCTATGATGCTGACGACCATGATCATGACGATGGTGAACATGATTATGGGTTCTCCCGCTACCCGACGGCCGCACTTATTTCTGCAAGCGCCCCTGTCCGAGCTAGAGCTTGAGCGCGCGCGATGCGCGCGCGATGGTTCTGGTATGTGTATATATATATATATATGTACATATATTTGTGCATGTAGATTGGCGTTTCAAGGAACAAACCTCTGGCGCGTGACGGTCGTTACCCCATCCAGAACCCACCCGGCGGGCAACGGTCATGATCGTGCGTAGGGGGGCGTGGGGGCTGGACCCCCCCTCGAAATGGTGGTGCTCGCGTGCGTACCTTGGCGATCGCAGCGCGCTCCCACTCCGACGTGCCCCACCCCGCCCGAGCGTTCATGTTCCCGGGGCTCCAAAGCCCGCGGGTAGGGACCGCTACCAGGAAGAATCAGGCAAAACTTCACAGAGGGAGGGAAGCGGCATGATAATGTACTGCCGGGGGCCCGTGCGGAGTTCTTGGGACGGCGCTGGACACCCCTCCCCACCCAGGCGGCGGGGCCTTTGGCCGTCCCCGGCGCGCTCCGCGTGTAGGGGAAGTGGCGTCGGGAGGGGTGTTCAGCGTCGACCTGAGAAATGCGCGTGGAACCCTGACTCGTAGGCTTCAGGACGGGAGCAATGGCCTCAGCCGTCACGGTTCGAGCGCGCTCGGGCCGTGGCCTCCTCGCGCGCGGGCGCTGCGTGCAGCGCGCGCGCCCCCCCTTCCGCCATCGCGACGGCGGCTGGCGGTGGCGCTCCTGGCTGGTGGGGGCGGCTGATCGGCCGCTGCCCCCAGCGCCGCGCTGCGGGCGCGGCGGAGTCGGCGGCGCCGGGGCCCGGCGTCGTCGTGCAGCAGCACGTGGAGGTCCACGTGCACGTCGGCAGCGGCGTGGACGCCGCGCAGGCCGGGCGAGCAGCCGCGGAGGCTGCCGTCGCGGCCGCCGCCGACGCCTCGCGCGCGGCCTTCGCGGCGCCTGGCGCGGCCTGCGCCCCCCCGGCCGAGGACACCCCTTGCGGGGCCGGCGCTGCGCCGGCCAAGGAGGCGCCCGCGTCGGGCGCGGCGGCCCCGGCGGCGAAGCGTGCCGCCCGGCCGACTCCTCCTCGGGCCGCGCGGACCGAGCGCTGGGCCTACGCGGTGTGGCAGCACCCTCTGCGGCCGGAGCTGCGCGGGGTGCACTGCGGAGGCGGCGAGGCTTGGCGGGCGCTGGCGTCGACGCTGCCTGGAGGCCGATACTCGTTCGCCTCGGGCGTGCGGCTGCGTCGCTTCGCCGACGAGGCCGAGGCGGTCGCCGGCTACGAGCGCGAGGCGGCCCGGCACGGAGCCCCGTCGCCGGCGCCGCTGTTCGACGCGCTCGAGCCCCGCCGCTCGGCCTGATGACGGCGGTGCTGGGCGGCGCGGAGCCCGCCAGCGCCGAGGAGTACGAGTGGGAGCTGCGCGTGGCCGAGCTGACGGACGACTACATGCCGCTGCAGGTGGACGTCACCACGGTGCATCCGGGGCTGGATACGGGCGGCGTGGGCATCTCCGTGCCGATCGTGCCCATCCGCAAGAGGGGAGGCGTGTTGACTATCGCCATCCCGGCCGCGGTGTGCCCCTGGCTCAGCCCGCACTTTGCGGCCCTGGGCGATCCCATCCACTTCCTGCCCGCGAACGACGGCCAGATGGCGACGGTGGCCCTGGTGAGGATCAGCTCGGAGGGCGGGGCCTGGATGGAGCCAGCCTCCGACGGCAGCCAGTGGGCGGGGGACGGGCGCTGGCCGGCAGCTCGCGCGGTGGTGCAGCTGGCCGAGGCCTTGCCCGCGGTCGTGGAGGACCACGAGATCAGTCCAGACAGGGACTACTCCAGCGCGCTCGCCCCGGCGCCCCACGCCCTGAGCCCGGAGGCGCTCGACACGGTGCTGGGCGGCGCGCTGGGGCTCGGCCCGTGGCGAGGGCTGCTGCGCCTGCGCTGGCCCCCTCCCGAGCCCGAGCCGGGCGACGAGGATCAGCTGGTCGGGCCCGACGGGCAGGCACTGCCGCGCGTCGCGACCCCGCCTCCGGGCGGCTCCGCCGCGGGCGCCGCGGAAGGCCCCTGGGAGCCCTGGCACCCGCCACCTCCTTCGCCGCCGCGGGCGGCCGCCGTCGGAGCTGGCGACGTCGCGGGCCCGCAGGCCGCCCGCCTGCAGCACGCCGCCGTCGCCGCCGCACGCAGGCAGGCCCCGGCGCCCGGGCGCCCGGCCGCTGGTGGCGGCCGCGGGCGAGGCGGGCGCGGCAACGCCGGGGGCGCGTTCGAGCTGGGCGACTCGGCCGACGAGGAGTCGGGCGGCCTCCCCGAGGGCCGTCGTGGCCCCGCCCGCTCGCGAGCGGCAGCGGGCCAGGGTCGCACCACCGTCGCCTCGCTGGCCGCGACCTTGGAGCGGCTGGCGGAGTCCAACCAGGAGGTGCTGCGGCGCGTTGCGGCGCTGGAGAGCGCGGGCAGTGGCGAGCCCCCCCTGCCGCCGCCTTTCGAGGCGCCGCCGCCCAGTGCCGCCGCGCCCGCTGGCCCGACGCATCCGCAGGTGCTGGGGCCGTCGCGAGGTGCCGCCGCCGATCGCGCCGCCGTGGACTGGGCCCTGCACACGGCGGGGGCTCCACCGCTGGCGCGCTTCGGGCAGCCGGTCGGCGTGGCTGGCGCCCCGCCAGCTGGGGTCCCGGCGAGCGGCGGAGGTTCCGCCGCCCTTGCGAGGGCCGCGGGCCCGGCAGCTGCGCCGGCGGCAGGAACGGGCTTCCCCCTCAACGCGGCGCAGGTGGTGCAGGCCAGGGCCAACTTCGCCCGCCACCACGGCGTCCCGTTTGCCGACGTCTCGGAGGGCGAGGTGCGCAGGTCGCCGGAGGGCATCGTGGCGTGGTGCCAGGCCGGCGTTGCAGCACCCGCTGGCGCGCCGGCAGGAGCAGCCGCCGCCGCGGCGCCGCCGCCCGCGGGCGCGTCGCCGGCCGAGCTGGCGGCGCACTGGGCTGCCGTGGCAGAGCTGCAGCGGATGCCTGCTGGCGCCGCGCCCGCCGCGCTGGCCGGGCTTCTGCAGCCGGGCCTCGACGATGGGTCCGCCGCTGCTGGCAAGATGCCCGGGGCCCGCGGCGCCGCCAGCATGGAGATGCTGCGGCGCGACCTGCAGGCGCGGCCGACGGCCTGGACGTCAATCATCAGGGGGAACGCGGAGCTGGCGCTGGCGGGGACCTCGGACGACCCCGACCCGAGGGTGCGCAGCATGGTGGAGTTCGTGGTGCGCACCGGGACGATCAATCGGGGCAACAGGACGGCCGCCTACCTCGGGTTCGGCATCGCGCGAGTGGCCGACCTCATGGCACGGGGCCAACACGAGATGGCGGAGGCGCTCATCCTGCTGCTGTTGACGGCGCTGGAGCAGGCCCAGCGGGACAACGGGCGCTGGCAGCTCGCGTGGCTCCTCACGCATCTGCCGGAGCCCCCGTGGGCGCAGATGACGGCCGGCACGGGCGGGAGCGTCGACAGCCTGCGGCCGTTCGGGTACCTGGCGGACGCTACGTGGTCGACGGCGGCGATGGCCTACACGAAGGACGCCGCGTCCCTGGCGGAGATCAGGAAGAAGTTCAACGACGACCGCGGGGGCGGCAAGAGGGACGACGAGGAGACCAAGCCGCCGAAGGGCGCGCCCAAGGGCGGGCGCGGGGGCGGCGCCAAGGAGGGGGCGTAGCCGGCGAGGCCGGCTTGCTGGCGGACCTCGAGGCCGGGGTCCCGCGGGCGCAGATCGGCATGGTGCGCCGCCTCCTCAGGTCCAGGACCAGGCTGGGCTACTTTTTGTATTCGTGCATGCAGTTCTCCGGTGCCCCGTCGGAGTCCCCGACGCGTACCTGCTTGAAGTTGTTCCCGATGGCGCCGCCCTACCCGTGGACCATCGGCACCCCTCCGTACACCAGCCCGCGCTGCAGGGAGCGTTGGAAGAAGTTGCAAGTGGCCAAGCTGCAGGTCAACCTGATGGTGGTCGCGTGCTCTTTCCTGGCGCTTGGCTCGCAGCGCTGGTGCCCGGCATCGTGCAGGACGGGGATGGGCTTGTCGGAGGTGCAGCGGGAGCGGGTCCCCCACCTCCTGGCCCTTGCCAAGCAGTTGGGCCGCACGCCCTACGACATGAGCGGCCGCGGCAAGATGAAGCTACATTCGCTTCTGCAATTCGCTATGCAACTTCGCGGAGCCGCCCCCGGGCAGCAGGTGCGAGCTCCGCCCCCTCTTGCGGTGGCGCCCTTCGTGGCCAGCCGCGCGACCTTCTGCAAGCAGGAGGCCCACTTCGACCCCGTCTATCACCTGCCGGTTTTCGAGGCGGCCGCCTACCTGGGCCCCGCGATGATCGAGAGGGCCCGGCCGCTGGACCACGGGCTGAAGACTATGAGGCAGACTGGCAGTATGACCGAGATCGTCGCTTTCGCGACCGACCTGGACCGCTCCCACAAGCTGTACTTGGCGAAGCCCGAGGAGGTGGACATGGACCAGGCGTGCAAGCTCATACCCGTTTATCGGGACCAGCAGCGGGACCGGATCGTCTGGGATCGCCGTATCAGGAACGCTGCCGAGCATCCCCTCCAGTCGGGTAGTCAGCGCCTGGTGTCAGCGCACGCGCTGTGCGACTACGAGCTGGACGACGGATGCGTGCCCGTGCTGTTCGCCGAGGACGTCTCCGACTTCTACCCCTCTTTCGACGCGACGCCCGCCAAGGCACGCACGAACATCCTGGGGCGGAAGGTGCCCACCCACATGCTGAGGCACACGCGGGCGTTCGCAGAGCGCGGCTCCGAGCTGGGCGAGTACTGCGTGGTGTGCGTGGCGAGCCTGCTCATGGGGGACCTGAACGCGATCGACTTCGCCCAGGGCGCGCACGAGGCGGTGCTGCAGGCAGGCGGCTCGCTGGCGGACGCTGTTCGTGTGCAACACCACAGGCCTTTCCCGCGCGGCCCGCACGCGGAGCTGCTGCAGATCGACGACCACATCGGCCTGGGACAGCGGGTGCGTGGCTCGCGGCGCTTGCCGGCTGCGCTGGTGCAGTCCTTCGACGGCGCCCGCGCGCAGTATGCGAAGGAGGGCCTCGTGGCGGCGGACGACAAGCGCGTGGCGGGGGCCTCGGCGGGCTTCGCGCTGGGCGCCGAGCTGCTGTCTTCAGGGCATATCGGGGCGGAAAGGCTGCGCCGGGCTGGCCTGGCGCTTTTGTCCTCTGGCATCGCTGCCCACGGCCTCGTGTCGGGAGCCCTGCTCAGGAGGACGGTGGCTAGCTGGGTGCATGTGGTGGGCTTTCGTCGTCCTGCTATGTGCTTGCTGGACGAGGTGTTTCGCTCACTGCCGGAGGTGCCGCGCGACGACGACGTCTTCGAGCTCGGCGCCGGCGCCAGGCAGGAGCTGATGTTGCTGTCCATGCTGGCACCCACGTTCGTCACCAACCTCAAGGCCCAGGTCGCGAGCAGGGTCGTGTGCAGCGACGCGTCGCATCTCTGCATGGCGTCGGTCGTGGCGGACGTGGCGCAGCCCATCGTGCGCGAGATCTGGCGGCATCGCGACCAGCGCGGGTGGTACACGCAGCTGAACAGTAAGGAGGTGGCCTACATCCGCGCGCACAAGCGCCTGGAGGACAGAGCGTGGCTGCAGGATATCGACGAGGAGCTGCTGCCTGGCGTGAAGGTGCCGCGCTGGCACCTCCTCGAGGTCTTCGATGTGCTGGAGGTGTGCAGCGGGCGCGACGCCCCTTGGTCTCGGGCGCACGCAGCGGCTGGCCTGCGGGTGGGGCCCAGGATCGACCCCAAGACGCACCCGATATGGGACTTACGCTCCATCCGCATCGTGGAGTGGATCCTGTTCCTGATCATCAACGGCCGGGTCGCCTACGTGCAGTGCGCCCCGCCGTGCAGGACCTTCTCGTTGGCTCGGCAGCCCAGACTTCGCTCGCGCACCCATCCGCTAGGCCTGGACCCCAGCGACGAGGACACGCTCCTGGGCACCGTCCTGCTTTTCAGGTGCCTGCTCATCCTGTGGACGGCGCGGCGCTACCGCAGGCACGGGTCCCTGGAGCACCCTGCTTGGGCCTACACATGGTACGTGCAGCAGGTGATGGCGCTGTTCGCGAAGCCGGGCTGTGGCATGCTGGTCTTCGCGGCCTGCTCGTTCGGGGCCCCGTTTCAGAAACCGACCAAGCTGGGCCTGGTGCACTGCGACTTCTTGATGCCGTTGGCCCGCCCATGCGTTCACGGGCGGAAGGCCCACCGCAGCCCGCTGGTGGGAGCCGCCCGCACCGCCCCTGCGGCTGCCTACTCGGCCAGGCTGTGCGACGAGTGGGCGGAGCTGACCCGCGCGCAGCTGGCCGCCGAGGCGCCCCTGGTGGGGGTGGAGCCGGCGCCGGAGGCTACGGCGGGGCGGCTAGAGCAGCCGTTCGTCAACGACTTGATCCGCTGCTGCCGCTGGAGGGCCTTCACTTGCGAGCCGTGCCCGCCGGTGACGCACATCAACAGGCTGGAGGTGCGCGCGCACTTGAGGGCGCGCGGGAAGGCCGCGCGGGAGCAGCCCGGGACCAGGCAGCCGTTTCTGCTGGACTCGACCGTCGCGCTGGGGGCCTGTGCCAAGGGCCGTTCGGCATCGCATGCACTCAACGACGACCTGAAGGTAGGCCTCCCCGACGTCCTGGGCTTCGACGTGTACCCGGGGTACGACTTCGCACCCACGCGCCTGATCCCCGCCGACGGCCCGTCGCGGGGCCGAGGGATAGCGCCCCCCTCGGCCGCACGCCCGCCCTGGTGGAGCTCGGCGGCGGTGGGGGACCTGGGCGGCCTCGACCAGTGGACGCGGGTGCCCCGGCAGCGGCGTGCGGAGTCGGAGTGGTGTCGCATGGCGCTGAAGCTGGTGCAGCTGTGGACGCTGAAGGACTTCGACAGCACGCTCGGCTACCCAGGCGAGGGCCCTGGGAGGACGCTCGCCGTGGTCTGGCTCAGCCTTGTCATGATGACGGGAGGCGCGCGCGTGGCTGGCGAACCTCCGGCGCCGCGGCCCGCGGTGGACCTGCGCCTGCGGCCTCAGACCGGCACCAAGACCGCGCAGATGCGCCGGCTCCTCCTGCAACAGTTCGAGACGTGGCTGATGGCGCTGGACGGCGGCTGCTCCGTGGCCGAGCTGGTGGTGCAGCTGCCGCGGGTGGTCTCCAGCATCGTCGCCTCGTACGGGCAGGTGCTCTACTCGCGGGGCCGCAGCCTGAAGCACTACACGGAGACCATCAACGCGATCGTGGACACCGAGCGGTCCCTGCGCAGGCACATGGGCGCGGCGTGGGACGTGTCGGCGGCGTGGCAGTTCGCGGTGCCGACGCGCCACCGGTATCCCACGCCTCTGCCGGTGCTGCGGGCGCTGGTGGCGCTGGCGCTCAGCTGGCAGTGGATCGACATGGCCGTCCTGATCTTCCTGGCGTTCACGTGCATGCTGCGCCCAGGCGAGGCGCACGGCCTGAGCTACTCGGACCTGCTGCTGCCATCCCAGCTGATGTCCGAGTCCGAGGTGTGCTACGTGAAGGTGCGCGAGCCTAAGGCTCGCTGGGCGGTGGCGCGCATGGAGCACGCCAGGTGTGACGAGGTGGCGCTGGTCAGGCTGCTGGAGCGCCTGGCCGTCGGGCGGCCGCGCGGGGAGAAGGTCTTCAGGGGCACCTACCAGCACTTCCGGAGGTGCCACGACGCCCTCGTGCAGTTCTTCGGCATCGCGGCCACGGAAGCGCACGGCCTGACGCCGGCGTCGCACCGTGGGGGAGGCGCCACTTTCTTCTTCCAGCAGAGCGAGGACCTGCCGCGTACGCAGTGGCGCGGCAGGTGGAGGCAGCTAAAGTCCATGGAGATCTACATCCAGGAGGTCGCTGCCGTCGCGTTCGTGCCGAACCTGACGCAGGCCTCGCGTGAGCTTGTGGGCAGGTTTGCCGCCGCTCTGCCCGGCCTGCTCGCTCGCGCCACCGCCTCTGTAACGTCGGCGTGGCCCGAGCGTGGCAAAATCTGAGTGCTGCTCTTCTCACTGCCCGGGGATCGTCTGCCCTGATCTCCCCTCGTGCTGTTTTCGAGCTGTGTGGAGGTTTGGGTCAGGAGCCGTGGAGCCTCGTCCGAGCCCGTCTCCGGTTCGGTGCGCCTTTTTAGATCGGCTTCGCCATTGCACAATCCCTGAGTGCCGGAGAAAAACACTTGCGGTAGGAGGGAAGCCTGACTCGTAGGCTTCAGGACGGGAGCAATGGCCTCAGCCGTCACCCGCCCGCCTCCCCGCGCCTCCAGGAGCCGTGGAGCCTCGTCCGAGCCCGTCTCCGGTTCGGTGCGCTTTTTTAGATCGGCTTCGCCATTGCACAATCCCTGAGTGCCGGAGAAAAACACTTGCGGTAGGAGGGAAGCCTGAGCAAGCTTCCCCCAAGCAGCGTTTGCATTTAGGAGTTCTTACTTCTTCGCCTTGAAGTGATTGGTAGGGTATTCCAGGTTTTCGTTCCGTTGCCGACCGTGCTGCCTCGCAGGCGCCCCGTGCGCTGGGTGGGTCTCCCGAGGGCTCGCCAAGTCGTCGACCGCGCTGCCTCGTGGGCGCCTCGCGGGCGCCCCCCGTGCGCTTGGGGGGTTGGCCAAGGTTGGCCCGCGTTGCCGACCTCCTCCTCCTCCCCTTTTCCTCCTCCCCATCCTCCTCCTCCTCCTTCCTCCCCCTCCTCCTCCTCCCCTTTTCCTCCTCCCCTTTTCCTCCTCCTTCTCCCCCTCCTCCTCCCCCTCCTCCTCCTCCTCCTCCTCCTCCTCCTCCTCCTCCTCCTCCCCTGCCGCTTCTTGGACGCCTGTGGGCGCCCCGTGGGCTGGGCGGGGGGGGGGGGTGCCGAGGTTGCGCCGCGTGGCCGCCCGTGCCGCCCCAGGCGCTCGTGGGCGACCCGTGCGCTTGGGGGAGGAGGAGGAGGAGGAGGAGGAGGAGGAGGAGGAGGAGGAGGAGGAGGAGGAGGAGGAGGAGGAGGAGGAGGAGGAGGAGGAGGAGGAGGTTGCGCCGCGTGGCCGACCGTGCCGCTTCGTGGGCGCTCGTGGGCGCCCCGCCCGCGCGCCCGGGGCGCTCTGTCGAGCCTGCGCCACGTCGTCGCCCGTGCCACCTCTGCGCTCGTGGGCGCTCCGTGCGCTGAGTTTACACCACGTCGACAGGGCTCGCTTCGATTCCTCCGATTCGATTCGATTCGATTTCGATGGATTCCGATTCCGATTCGATTCGATCTGGGATTCCGATTTGAGTTCCGATTTCTTATTGGAGGCATACCAGTCTGCCGATTTCTGCCGATCCGACTTTTCCCGACTCAGCTGCCGATTTCCGACGATCCGATTCATGCCGATCGCCGATCCGACTTGTGGATCCGATCCTGGGCTCTCCTGCGTCGATGTCACGACCTAGCTCAAATCAAGACGGGGTACACCGCACAGCTTACACCGCATAACTTGCACCACATAGCTTTGACCTTACAGCGTTCACCTCCAGCTAGAACAACATGTATCAAACTAGACATAAATTACACCACATAGGTTGCACGGCATCGTTCGCAGCTCAGACAACAGAGCTTACACGACATGGCATGCACGATAGAGCTCACTTTGTATGTGTATATGCCTTTATTGGTTTGTTTCCAGGGTGAAGCCGTGATGCCGTTCGCGATGTCTGGGCTCCCGCTGCCCGCCCCGTGGCCCCAGAACCGTCGAAGAACGGCTCATGATGAAAAGCTGGTCCCTGGGAAAGCCTCCGGGGCAATGACCGCTCTCCCTCGGGGGTCCGCTGTTCTTCGTGCTACGACGGGGCATCCCTCGTGGGCGGCGGGCCGGGCACCCGGGCCGCGACCCCACGGATATACCGCGTTTTTTTGCGCGGACGCCCCGCGTGGAACGCATCCGTGCGACCGCGTATCCGCGGGATCGCGCCCCTGCATCCCGACCGTGAGGGCGCGGATACGGATATGGTCACCGCTCGTGAATCCTTGGCGGCGCACGCCACTTCACGCGGCGCGTACCGAGGCAGGCGGCCATTCGAAGAGGGCCCCCCGTGTCTCTCACAGAAGCTCTCCTGGCGGGGCTCCCAGAGAGACCCAGCAAAAGGGCGCCCCCCTCAAACACGCACCCCTTCTGCGCGCCGCCAGCATCCGAGAAGCAGAGCTCGACAGAGTTCAAGAAAATCTCCACCGGGACATGCGGCGACCACGGGATGGCCCCCATTCTGGACGAGACTTTGTGTGCTGCGGCCGCGCAGACTCTCAACGAGCCGGACGTCACGGTGACCGCCACGGTCTTGCCCAACCGCCCCGAGGGTTGCTATTTCTACAAGGAGACCGGCACCGCCGACTTCGACGACACCGTCGACGGTCTCTGGCTCTCCATCAGCGCAGACAACAGGGGCCACGGTGCGGAGCAGTCCGACGTGGGCGCCGGAATGATCCGGTCGCCCCTGTGCGCGCCACACTCGGACTGCGGGATGGTAGACGTGGACATCGAGTACGAGGGTGTGGCGTACAGCCACATGGTGCCCATCCCCAGCGCGGGGGTCTGCTGCGAGAAGTGCCAGGTCGACAGCCGCTGCGGCTCGTGGACCTGGTCGCACAGGGAGCGCGACGACCACGGCGAGGCGTACGTGTGCAGTCTGCTGGAGCCCCAGCAGGACCGTGCAGTGCCGACGAGGCTGCACAGGAAGGGCTTCGTGTCGGGGCTGCCCGTCCGCGACCGCAGGCCCGGCTCGCTCTACTGCGTGGCTCTGATGCAGCCAGAGGGCTACGAGCTGCCGCTCCTCCAGATGCAGCACGCCGAGCGTGTGAGCGTCTTTGCCTGCGAGGAGCATGCTATCTTCAGCAATGCCGAGGTCAAGGTGGGCCCAGGGATTTACACGAAGATCATCGAGAGCGACCTCAAGTGCGAGGTCGGAGGTGATGCAGGCACTGCCCTGAACGCTGGGATCTTCATAGTCCTCTGGAGGGCGGTCATCGACAGCGGCCGCTTTCGATTCCACGACTGGACAGTCAAAGTGGATCCTGATGCCGTCTTTTTCCCAGACCGCCTGCGGGGGCGTTTGCATGATGTTGTCGAGGGCGTCAACGGGACTTACATCAACAACTGCAAGTACGGGCTACACGGCCCGATCGAGGTCTTCTCCCGGAACGCAATCGAGCTGTACGGCGAGAAGTACATGCAGTGCGAGCAGAAGTTTTGGTTCGCTTACTCCCATTGGGGCGAGGACATGTACATGGACCAGTGCCTGGAGAAGGTGCTTGGGGTCGAGCGGGTGGACGATGTCAGCATGATCTGTGAGGACCACTGCGATTGCCCTGAGTACGTGGACTGCACGAGCGGTGCGGTCACTTTCCACCCGTTCAAGACGGTAGCCGTCTACCGCCAGTGCATGCTCAACGCTGGCCTGGTGCTCAAGACATGACATGGTCAAGCTCATTCTGGCTGCGGAGGCGCACTGGGCTAGCGATCACTAGGGCGCCCCAGTCGACTGACATCGCTTGCCAGTGAAGCACGTGTGGCATTCTTGTGAGTTGTAGTAGCTGCTGCAGTTGCACGTCTCTGAGACATCTTCTCGTTCATCGCCGGTTGGGCCACGTGCCCATGGTCCGTGATGGAGACGGCATAGCTAACAATTCTTGACGCTTCGCGTGTCTCCACCAGAATGGGTTGCTGCTTGCCCCGCCGCCTGATCCGCGGCCCCCGCGCGCGCCCGGGTAATTCGTCACGGCCGCAGCCCGACCGTGACCGCTCGCCGCCGGCGCTTCCGCCTGCGGCTGTAAAAAAAATAAAAAAGTGTCTCCACCAGCCCATCCAGAAACGATGCCCATGAGAGTTGGCGGGGGGAGAGAGGAAGAGACACGCAGAGTCAAACAGCGAGGGAGGCCTGGGAGGCTCCGTGGCCATCTCGAGCCGTCTTGGAGCGGTCTTGGGGCCGCTTGGAGCATCTTGGGAGCCATCTTGAGCCAGCTCGAGCTAACTGAGCCATCTTGGAGGTTATCTTGGGCTCTCTAAGGCCGCTTAGGGGGCCATTCGGGAGCCTCTTGGAGGCCTCTTGGGGCCTCTTGGAACCCTCTTGGGGCCTCTTGGGGCGCTAGTGGAACCCTCTTGGGGGCATCTGGGGAGCCCTGGAGAGCCTCTGGGGGACATCTTGGAGGCGCTCGGTCAAAAGACGGGGGGTACTCGATTTAGGTCCCCCCCTTGGGGGCCACGATCCTCGTGAGGGGTGGCAAAAATTGACCCTCCCAATGGCCGAACAAGGAGCCTCGTACAGCTCGCCATCCCTCCCAAAAACCACGGGGAGGGGAGGGGGAGGGCTCCCCTCCCCGAAGGGAAGAGGGGTTGTGGAATTTGAAAAGGACCCTCCTTAGACCACCTGTCGCCCAAAGGGCTGGTGGGATTCGTCGTTTGCGACGTGGGCCTGTCTCACATTTGGAGGCTCCCCTGCCCCGCGAAGAGCGGAGCGCGCTCCAATCCAGATCGCCATCGAGTCCCGCTCCTCGATCGAGGCCTGGTTGGCAGCTCTATCGCCCCAGTCCTGCCTGCTTGTCCCTCCTGCTGTTGCTGGCGCTACTCCCCTCGAGTCTGTGCTGCAGGTGTTGGCATTGTCTTGCAGGATTCCCTCTGGCATGTTTTTGTTGAGTCAGCTTTGTCTTCCATTGCTCTCACAGGGCCAGCCACCCTTGAAGGCCGTGTACTCTGACAGTGTCCTTCCGAATCTGTATTGCAGGGACGGGTTGCGGCTCCTGGTCGTTCGTTCCTCCGCCCCAGGAGTCCAAGTTTCTTGTTTCTTGTGCAAGCGGCGGGCCTGGGGCTCTGGCGTCCCGCGACCGGTTTCTTTCAGGATGCGCTCACCCCTCGCAGGCGATTTCTCTCCCCCAATCCCCGACTTCCGCCAGAAAAGTTTGGTCGCTCAGAAAAGGGGAGGAATCTTGGGATACATCCCGAGGGGGCTATTCGGACGCACCCCTGTCGAGGATGGACGCCCCCCCCCTCGTATATCCCAGGGTTGGGCCCCAAATTGTTGATCCTCTCGAAAACCTCACGGAGCCTGGGATAGGGGTCGACGCATCCCCTGTTAACCCCCCTGGTTCCTCTTGGGATGCCCCTCACCCGCCTCCCCGAGAGGCAGCGCGGGGCGACGCAGAGCATGTGCAGAGCGGGCGCAGCGGGGCGCGGCGCAGCGCGGGAGGCAGTGCAGCGCGATGTGGTGCAAGGGGGGCTGTGTATCAGTGCACGGCAATGCGGCGATTTGTGAAGCAAGCCAGATGCAATGCGAAGCCATGGCAGGCCATTTCAATTGATACGAGCCGTGGCCCCGCATTGCAGAGCGTTGCACTCAAAAAGTCAGTGGAAAGACGAGCAGCGCCCCCAGGAGAGGGAACGTGGCACGCTGTGACATGTGGCAGCTCGTCTCATTCGCGTTCCGCCTTGTTGCCTTGCAGCCGTAAGCGTCAGCCCGTCCATCGCGTATACGTCTACACCAGAATGTTCTTGGAATCCCTCTGACCCCAAAGGGACGTCCTACTTGGGCGTCCGATGCGGGATCTGCCCGCTGAGTTTCCCGCCTAGGCCCCTTGCTTGCGCTCGCGGGGATCTCGCTCGCCGTCCTCTCTCGCCCGCCGTCCTCTCGGCAACACTGCTCAACGAATCCAGGCGCGCCGCGGTGCCAAAAGGTGACCACTGGCGGCAGAATTTGCTTGCAAGAGCGTGGCCCCACTGTAGCTCCGAGGCTGGAGTTCGTAACGCATCTGCCGCCCGGAGGACTCATGCCCCAGGGGGATGGGCGGTGGATGCGGATACCGTCAGGCGCCCCTGTGTCCAGGGAATGTCCACATCCGTTGCCCTCTGGCGCCCTGGGACGTCAGCTCCCTGGGCGGTGAAGAAGCACCAGGAAGCTGGACACAGATGACGCAGCCAGCCTGGGCGAGAGCTGGGCACACGTGTGGCCGCATTTTCCTCGGGCGCCCAGCCCTTGTATGGCCACGGGCGCGCTGGGCTTCCGCCTGTGTGTCCAGCGCGTTGCCCCCAGATGCTCCACACGCGTGGATCCAGCCATATGGGGGGAAGCAACATTTTGACCGATACCGCTGCTCCCTGGACCTCTCCCAAGGTGCGTTTTGACCAGGATTTCGAGGCGAGCCCAGCCAGCGAGAACGAAGACAGGGACTGTTGGCACCTTTTCCTCCCCCGAGCTTCCTGGCATGATGCTCTGGCCTCGGTCTTGTCCGGGTCCACCGGGTCCAAGGCGCGTCTCAACGTCGGCCGCGGAACGCCGCTGCGGCAGATGGCCTGCGGCGAGCCGCGTCTTCCTTCGTCCAGACCGCGCCGTCCCCGCCGCCCGTGCCAGTTCGACAGGAGAATCGAGAGTTGCGGAATACGCGTAGATGTGGTGATCTTTTTTCGCCTCCCTTCGGCACCATCCAAGCATAGTTAGACGATATTCGCATCGGCCACGCAAGAGCGACGCACACGTTCGGACATCTCGAAGCAGTTACAGCCCAGCGTATGATTAAGAAGCCTCCTCATGAAAAGCTGGGCCCGCGTTTCTTAACCGATTTGACGGAAAGCTGGCCCAGTTTCTTTTCCAGTGATAGCGGTAGAAGTTGGCCCAGGCTTGTTTCAAGAAACTTCTGAAAAGTTGGTCCAGGTTTCTCAAATTATAATTTCATTGGTCTTGTTGTTGGCTGTTTCTTCGCTTCGTGGTATTAACAGGTGTTGTGCTACTATGTGTTCTGGTCGGACGTGCGTCTCCAACAGAGGTGCAGAGTAGGGTGCAACAGGCTGGGAGCGGTTTTCTCCTAACGCCGCCACGTGGTCCAATGCCGCATAACATGAGGATTTCTGTGAGCGATGGTTGCACTATGTGATACAGTGGCTGGACACATTGCGCTTCGGATGTCCACACACACACTGCCCCCGTTACATTGCAAAACAACAGTGCAGAATGTGGGCCAGTTGTGTGTTCAGTACACTCCGCCCTGTCTCGCGTGTTTGCGCCCGCGACGGGTGTGAAATGTCAGTTCACTGTCATACATACATCAACAACGCACAATGTGTCTTGGGAACGCCCAGGGGCCACAACGTTCCGAATGTTTACGCCCACCAAGGGTGTGAATGAATGATTCCTTCGCTTCCCTGCACCATGTGGCAACATACAGTGTGTCTCGGAGCGTCCTGGCCCCCCCACGACGCCGACGACGACCACCACGACGACGACGATGATTTTGACGACCACGACGACGACGATGGCGACGACGACGTTGACGCGCGCTCTCGCCCGAACGCCGGCCACTCCCTGGTTCTCGCCTCATCGCTGGCTAGTGTCTCGGTCTGGCCGACCATTCCTTCTTAAGCACGGAGAGGCCCCAGGGCGGCGCTTCCCCCTGTCGGGAGGTGGACGTGCTGGGGGGAGACAGCGCCACCCCCTCTGGGGGGGAATCCTGCACCACCAGATACGCATTTTGGAAAAGGAACCGCCAAAACCAAACAAATTGCGAGGACGTCTCAGGCGAAACCGGGCCCAAACCAGGCGAACTTAAAGCGAAACCGCGCACATTGCGAGGACGTCTCAAGCGAAACCGCGCTGAAACCAACTGATCCCAAGCAACTGGCGAGGACGTTTCGGGCAAAACCAGGCCCACCAAGGCGAAACCAAGCAAATGGCGAGGACGTCTCAGGCGAAACCGCGCCGAAACCAAACACAATGCGAAGACGTGTCTGGCGAAACTGGGCGCAAACCAGGCGAAACCAAGGCGAAACCAAGCAAATTGCGAGGACGTCTCAGGCGAAACCATGCCCAAACCAGGAACACTGTCAGGAAGAAGCTGGGCCCAAACCAGGCCAAACCAAGGCGAAAAGCAAATGGCGAGGACGTCTCTGGAGAAACCGTGCCGAAACCAAGCAAATTGCGAGGACGTCGGGCCAAAACAAAGCGAAACCAAGTAAGCTGCGAGGACGTCTCAGGCGAAACCAAGCCCAAACCAGGCCAACTCAGGGAAATTGTGGGGATTGTCTCCGGCGAAACTGCGCCCAAACCAGGCCAAACCAATGGCCAAAGCAAGCAAATTCGGAGGACGTCTCAGGTGGCTTGCGCCGCCCAACCAAGCCAAAGCATGCCAAACCAGGGCCCAAACCAGGCAGATCTTGAGGACGTCCCAAGCAGGCTCCACCCACTGTCCTCAATCTGATTTTCACTTGAGGAGTGGATCGATCACCCCAGGCCCCCCCCCCCGGGCGCGAGCCCGTTTAGAATTTCATTGGGGGGGCGTTTGGACCACATGTCCGCTGAGGCGGACGGGGTTGGGAGCGGAAGGTTTCGTTTGTCTTTCGGTTGTTCTTTTGGCCTTGGTGGAGACATGCTTCCGAGTCTGACCAGGCTGGGAAAGGTTTTCTCCTAACGCCGCCACATGGTCCATTGCCGCATAACATGAGGATTTGTGTGAGCGAGGTTTGCACTATGTGCCACAGTAGCCGACGACGACGACGACGTTGACGTGCGCTCTCGCCCGAACGCCAGCCACTCCCTGGTTCTCGCCTCATCGCTGGCTAGTGTCTCAGTCCCGTCGACCGCTCAGGGCGGCGCTTCCCCCTTTCGGGAGGGGGACGTGCTGGGGGGAGACAGCGCCACCCCCTCTGGGGGAACATCACACACACATTTGTAAAAGAACCGTCAAATCCAAGCAAGTTGCGAGGAAGTCTCAGGCGAAGCCGGGCCCAAATCAGGCGGATTAAAACGAAGCCACGTAAATTGCGAGGACGTCTCAGGCGAAACCAAGCCCAAACCAGGCGAAACCAAACAACTTGCGAGGACGTCTCAGGCGAAGCCGGGCCCAAACCAGGCGAATGTAAAGCGACACTAAGCAACTGGCGAGGACGTCTCACGCGAAGACGGGCCGACACCAGGCAAATTGTGAGGACGTCTCTGGCGAAACCGGGCCTCAACCAAGTCAAACCAAAGCGAAACCAAGCAAATTGTGAGGACGTCTCAGGCGAAACCATGCACAGACCTGGGAAATTGTAGGACGTCTCAGGCGAAGCTGGGCCCAAACCATGCCAAACCAAGGCGAAACCAAGCAAATTGCGAGGACGTCTCAGGCGAAGCTGGGCCGAAACCAAGCAAATTGCCAGAACGTCTCAAGCGAAACCGGGCCCAAACCAATCGAAACCAAGGCGAAACCAAGCAAATTGCGAGGATGTCTCAGGCGAAACCGGGCCTAAGCCAGGCCAAACCAGGGAAATTGTCAGGACGTCTCAAGCGACACCGGGCCCAAACCAAGCCAAACCAACGTGAAACCAGGCAAATTCGGAGGACGTCTCAGGAGAATCGCGCCGAAACCAGTGCCTTCTTGCACTCCAGTGGCAATGTGGCCGTCGGAAGGGTCTTGTGTCCTCTCGCGTGTCCTGTCCAATCAAGGCCGACTGTACTTCTCAGGGGAGGGCGAGCTGAGACAGTGGTAGTTGGCCTTCGGGCAGGGCCCTTGTCGGCACGGGTGGCCGCAGCTAGGGAAATTGGTGCGTCTGGACCCCGGGAGGGGTCCAGGAACCGACTTTGAGCCTCCGATGTCTCCACTCGCCGCCTCCGCCTCCTCAGGCCCTGCCCTCCCGCCTCTTCTCCCTCCCCCTCCGTCGACGAAAGGGACGACGACGCCGACGACGACGACGACGACGACGGCGACGGCGACGGCGACGGCGACGGCGACGGCGACGGCGACGGCGACGGCGACGACGGCGGCAGCGGCGGCGGCGGCGACGATTACGACGACGACCATGACGACGACGACGACGGCGACGACGACGACGACGGCGACGACGACGACGACGACGACGACGACGTGGACGTCGACGTCGACGACAACGACGACGACAGCGACGACGCCGACGACGGCGGCCACGGCGACGACCACTGCGACCCCCCGACATTTTCTGGGGGGCGCTCCGACAAGAGCGTCGGGGCGGATCCAGCCGTCGTCACGAGGGCGCCTCAAAGAGGCCCGGAGAGGCCGGCGCCGCCCCACAGACTCGTCCCTCGACCTTCGACCCAGCACCAGGAGGACGACGACGGCGGCGGCGGCGTTGGCGACGACGACGACCAAAAACTTGGGGTCCATCCTGGCCGTCTCTTCCGTCCTGGGCAGCTGTTTGACGGTATTTCGGGGTATTTCGGAACACCGGGGAGGCCGGAAACGGAAAAGGAAGGTCATTCCGATCGACGATTTTGGACGACAGCAGCGGCGATGACGACAGCGACGGCGATGGCGACGGCGGCGGCTGCACCGACGAAGACGACGACGACGACGACGATGACGACGACGGCGGCGGCGGCGGCGGCGACGACGACGACGACGACGACGACGACGTCGACGACGGTGACGACGACGGCGGCGACGGCGACGGCGGCGGCGGCTGTGGAGCCGAGGCCCCGGGGGGCGGCGTGCTGGGCAGTGAGTCGCTGCTGCGCGCGCAACTGCAGGCGGGGCCCGCACCCCCCGGCCGAGGTGGTCATGGCCGTCGACGTCGTCCCCGTCGTTCATAGGAGGAACGGGCACCGATACTGCTACCCTCGCCTCGTTTTCGCCATTTTGGGCCTCCTGGGAGGCCCTCGTCGACACCGTTGGACTCGCCTCGAAATTTTAATCAAAACGCACCCGGGGAGATGGTCATTGCCGTCGCCGTCGTCCCCGTCGTCTCTTTTCCTCTCATCATCTTCCTTTGCATTCTTCAGCGGTAAACCGTTGGAGAGCTTAGTCTACCCTTTCATTTTCGTCTTCAGAGTGCGCTAGCGTCGCTCAGCGCCTGCTTATCGATGATACAGCGCCTATTTTGCGTCGATTAGCGTCGGCTTAGCGTCTCCCTCTCGTCATCTTCCTCGGCGTTCGCCTTGGAGCCGTCTGGGGGCCTGAGGTGGTCCAGCATTGGGTTTGGCCAGAAGGAAGAGCGGGCAGGTTCGCGGCTCTGGGTATGGGACAGGTTTGTGCAATTTTCTGTCTCTGGGGTACCTCGCGGAAGACAAAGGGCCCGCCCCAGAGCACCAGGTCGCCCTAGGACGCGTCGACGACCCCGCTGAATTCGCGCCTCAGGACCTTCAACCGCTGGTCGTACAGTTAGTTGGTCGACGGATGCCTGCCTGGCCGCGATGGGCTGGTCGCCGAACTCGGCCAGCCGCAACAGCCTCGCGGCCTCCTCGACCACATGGCACCAGTCGGGCGGGCACCTCCTGGCCGCTTTTGCCAGCGGTCAGTCGCCAGCAGCATGGAACAGCAGCTTCACGAGGTCGTGGGTTGGCACCAGCAGCTCGGGCCTGGGCCGAGGGGCCGCGCAGGCCAAACCCAATCAGCCGCCAGTGACGAAGTGGTCGCGCACCGTGTGCGAGCTGCATGAGGCTTGGCAGGCCGGCGCCTCGGACGCGACGACCTGCGAACTGCACTCCCGCGGCGTGGAAACCCTCGAGCTTGGCCAATTCGGAGGGGTCCATCCAGTCGTCAGCCACCAGCCAGGGCAAGCGGTGGCTCCGCACATGAGCGGCCAGGGCGCGGAGCGAGTCCAAGTTGCCCGCGAGCCCGGCGCCCGTCTCGAAGTAGCAGCTGGAGACCACGATCACCCCGATGTCGGCAAGCCTGCAGAAGGCGCAGGATATAATGCCTGGCACGAACGTCGCTTCTGCCTCGCCGCGCCCCACCAAAAATCAACATGTTTGTGCGCCAGGATGCCGACCAAACCACTCAAGGCCGAGTGTTCAGCTCTGCGCGCGCCGACCAGCCGCCAGCCACGGCTGCTTAGGGAGCCTTGCACCTCCAACAGGCGTTCGGTCGACGGTTTGATCTCCTAAAGGAAGACGAGCGGGAAGTCGAGCTACCGCAGGTGGTCCGCCAGGTCTGCTCGCATCCCCCGTGAAGTGATTTTGACCGTGGCGAAGGTGAGAGGCCGTCTCCCTCGACCATCCACAGGTCGCAGAGGGTCGTGGCCATGGCTCGCTTGGCGGGCGGGGCGGAGGAGGAGAAGAAAGAGGATGAGGAGAGGAGGAGAGGAGGACACCTGGCGGAGGTGGGGGAGGCCGTGGATGCGCCAGAGGAGGACATGCTGCCTTGAGGGGCTCGCACGCCGGCCCGTGAAGGAGGAGGGGAGGCGTGGCGGAGGGCCCGTGGAGGGTTCGGCAGCGATTTCGTCTGGGGCCAGTTTGGGAGGCAGAGCTCCTGTGCGCACCCCGGCGTCCACTCTGCTGTTTTGCCAGGGTCCGCCAGGGTGCACGCTGGACGCTTCGTCTCCGCTGTATGCCGTGCGCCCAGCCGGCTGGGCTCGCGACCGCCGGAGGGAGGAGGGGGAGCAGCATCATCATCAGCACGATGAGGAACACGAGGAGGCGAAAGGCGAGCGGGGCAGGCTGCGAGGCTGGCGCAAGGGAAGAAGCGTGGAAGACGGTGCGATCGGGCAGAATCGGAGTTTCGGGATGTTGTGCAGGGGGGGGGTCTAGCGGGCTCTTCCCTTCTCCCCTCTCGCGCTCTTTGTTTCGCCTTTGTGCTGCAATTCGCTCCGGGTGCACCCCACCGCTTGCTGTCCGGCGTCTGACCGTCTTTGACCGCATGGCGCCCGCCAACTAAAACAGAAAGTGCGGGGGAGCGGTGATTCCGAGGACGAGGCCAAGGGTCAGGGCCAGAGGATGGTGTTTGGGCGAGGGCCAGAGCAACAAACATGGTGGATAAGACTGGAGCATGGGAAGAAGCGAATGGACCGGGCACGCCAGGAGGAAACCCCGAGATGCTGCGCCAGACCAACAAGAAAAACCGTCGCGTCGCGGCGGCAAAATTTTAACAGGAGCCCTCTACCCCGTCTTTACGCGTTATTTCCAGATCGATCCGTTGTGGTGTTCCATCTCGAAGCAGAGGGGCAAGAAGTCATGATAATGAGGCATCCCCGGATGCCCCAGATGTTCGATCAATCCGAAATGTTGCTACGTTTCCGCATGAGCTCCAGAAGCGACGGCCGCCAAATAGTGAGGAACTCCTTGGACGCATCCTCAGCCAATCGTATCACGACATCGCATTCGTCCCATCGCAACCAGGGCGAAAGCAGTTGGGGGAGGAACGCTGTCCGCGGATGACGAGAATGCCGCCCCAGCGGCAGGACCTCCAGTCCACCGTCGGCGAGATGAGCTCGAGCCCCCCGGCGCTGATAGCGCGGGCGGCCGCGCCCGAGTCGGAAAAACTCCTCGGCGATCTGGGGGAGAGAGTTTGACTGGACGCCTCCTCCTCCTCCTCCGTGTCCTTCGCTTTTGCTCGGAAGTCTGGTGTTTCTTCAGCGGCAACAAGCTGAGGGGGGTCCCCGCGGCGGCGCGCCGGTGATGCTGTTCTTGACCCCCCAGGTGCGCTCCTGCGGCGACGACCCAGCGCCTGTTATCCATCCGCAGAAGACTCCGCGGGGCTGCGTTGGCGCGGCGGTGACCCCAGCGCGGGCGTTCAGGGTTGAACGCCGCCAGTGTCCCTGGATTCGGCTGGCATCGAACGATCAGCACTAGCGGAAAGCCTCGACCGCTGAAGTTTGACAGATCCACGCGGTGTCAGGGGCCAATGCCGCACAGCACCGCCATGCCCGACAGGGGGTATTTTGGGCACCCTGGACGGTGTGCAGGGCCTCCTGGCTTGGACTGGGAGGGCGTATGCACCATGCCTGGATCGCCGCGGGGTTTGCTAGCTAAGGGCACGGGGGGTTCAAAGTGGATGCTCAGGTGGGTAAGACCTGGCCCAGCCTGACTTATACTGAGGACAGAACGACCCACCCCCACCCCCTTCGGATGGCCGCGCTCTCGAACGCGGAAGTAAGCGCGGAGAATGTTTGGCCTCTCTTATCTTGCAGGCTGTGGAGCAGCATCGCTGTACTGCTGATGTTCCTGATGTTCCGCTTTCTCTGCTGACCCCCGAGCGTCGTGATTGTTTGAATGTCATGACGTGGGTCCCCGAGCTCTCGACTCGATGCTTGGGGCCCCCTTTCCTGGTCGCGTGATGGCAGGCGGGCCTGAAAACGGATCTCCACAGAGGCCTAACGTTTGGAAACGTTGGCAGACTTGATTGTCGCGCGACACCCAGCGGTCCTCACCTGCTCTCATCGCAAACAATCGCGACGGGTTTTGTTTGGCAGTTTTCGGCCGTCAAACAAAAGTATGTGATTTGTCCTTCCTCGGGGGAAGGGCATTAACAATCTGAAAGCTGGATGTGCCTCTCACACAGATCTCGTTGTCACGTTCCAACATCCCACTAGTTGTTTAACGCGAAGCACGTATGTGCTTATTTCATCTGTTCACAGTGGATGATTCAACATGTCTCTTCGATGCATTCGAACAAGCTGCTCCCAACGGCTTTGCATATATTGTCTTCTTATTGGTATACGGGTGCTTGTTCAGCGCAGTTGCTGAACGCATCCATTTGCACATTGATCTTCAGCATGGTTGTTCATAGTCAGTTCGGCTTCCCAGAGTGGAGGGAGTGGAACACGAGGAGGACTGGAAAGATGCAATTGCATTCCGCGTCCGAGTGCTGCATCGTCTCACATCGCTGATCGCATCCGGTGTGACCAGCTACACCCCAGACATCTGCCAGAGGATGCGTCGGATTAGTCGTTTCGGCTCGTCGGGCGCATTCGCTTGCCACCCTCTGGCGCAGAAGAGGATGGCCGCATGTCTTGGTTGACGCGCCCGCTGCGCCATCGGGCGCCCGCTGGCGAGGGTGGCGGCCCTGCGGAGTGCAGCTCCCTCGACGCGCAGCTGCACTGGCATGTGGGCAGCCGCTACGCGCTGCGGTGCCCGGTGCAGCTGTACGACTCGGGTAGCCCGCTCCCGCCGTTGCCCATTCACGCGGGCGACGCGTGCGCGACGCTGGAGGCTGGGGCGCACGTGCTGTTGCTCGCGCTGCACCACGCGGAGGACGCGGGTGGTGGCGCGCTGTACGCCTACGTCGCCGATGCGGGCCACGGTCGGTGGGCCTGTGGCTGGCTCCACCTTGCGGGCCCCCCTCTCGCGAAGCCCGCCGCGGGCCTTCGCCGCCTCCCTGGCAGCTGGGCCGCGGGCGGGAGGCACAGGTTGCTGTGCAGCAGGTCGCTGCAGTCGGGCCAAGGCCTACACAGCCACCAGGTGGGCCAGGCTGGCCGTGGCGAGGAGGTCGTGATCCTGGACGTGGCCGTGGGCTTCCTGGGCGCGCAGCCGCGGCTGCGCGCGTTAGTGCAGACCCGCTCAGGCGCGCGAGGCTGGCTGACCGTTGAGGGGCCTGGGGAGGTGGCGCTCAGCTCCACCGAGGCGTCTTCTCCGGGCGCGGCGGACGCACTAAAGGTGTGCCTGGCAGCATCGCAGACAGCAACAGCCCCGGCACCGCGGCCAAGAGAAGCCGCTCCGCTGGGTGAGCGTGCCAAGGCTGGTGCATGGTCAACTGCTGACCAGCCTGCTGCTCGGAGGCCCAAGGCGGCCGAGCTGTCCCGTAAGGAGGCGCTGTCCGACGCAAAGCCGTCGCCCGCCCCTTGTGCCAAGGCGACGTCAGAGGGCCGAAGCTGCGGCCGCTTGTCTCGGCCACTTTCAGGAGCCTCGGCGCCACTGGAGGTCCGCGTGAGGCGGCAGGGCACCTCGGGCCTCGGCTTGTCTTTGGACTGTTCAGACGGGCGCACCGTTCGTATCACAGCCATTCAGCGAGTTGGCCTTTTTTCGACGTGGAACGAAGCCATGCCTGCCCACGAGCAGGTGCGCCCTGGCGACAGGGTGGTCTCTGCGAATGGACACAAGGGAGACGCACATGCCATCATGCAAGAGCTGGCGGAGGCGCGCGACCTGCGGCTGACACTGCTGAGGTCCGAGGACGAGAACCCTAAGACCAGCATGGACGCAGCAGGGGCCAGGGCCGTGCCGACTTCCGGAGGCGGTCGTCGTACACCAGAAGCCGACGCTGCGCTGGACCGGAGGACACATGCAGCCAGCCCGCCGCGAGCGGCAGTCTTGCACGCCATCGAGGCGACGCCAGAGTGGAGCGCCTGGCAGGTGCCCGCGAGGCCTCGGTCCTGGCTGGCGCCCGGTTCTGTTCGGAGCGCACCGGTGGAGAGCACGGGTGGCGGTGGTGGCGGCGCTGTGCTGCCTCTCAGCGGCAGCCGAAGCAGGCTGGTGGCCTCCCAGTCCCTGGTCAGGCCGGCCGGCGGGACCCCGAAGACCGTGCTGTTGGCCGAGCAGTCAGGCCGCGGCGGCGGAGCGGGCCAGTCCTCTTCGGAGTTGCCCGCGAGCCAGCCAGGCCCACCCTGCCGAGCCCGCAAGGGCGGCAGCACAGAGCTCGCGTGCTGCGCGCAGGTGCTCGCGGTGGAGCAGGCGGGCGCCGAAAAAGGCTGCCCTGGGCTGCAGCTGCCGCAGCGGGTCGACGGCCGCCAGAGCCCCGGCGTGAAGCTGCCCGACGAGGCGCTCTCGTCCTGTGGTTCCCGCGCATCTCGCGGGTGTGCGGCATTTCCCGATCACGTGCCCCAGCCGCAGGCGGGCGAGGGCGAGGGCGAGGGCGAGGGCGAGGGCGAGTGCGAGGGCGAGGGCGAGGCGTGCTGTGGGAGTTGTTCGGTTGCTCGGGCGCCGAGGGCGCCGTCGCGAGGCAGTTCAGGTGCCGCAGGTGGTCGTACGGCTGCCGAGAAGGACAGGGCACCGTCCGATGATAGCTCGGGCGTTTCACGATGTCACACGGCCGCAAACACCATTGCCTCCCGCGATATCTCGGGCGCCGCGGGCGGCGGGGCAGCCCCCAAGATGGACAGGGCGCCCTCCGACGCCAGCTCGGTCGCCAGGAGCACTGGCGCTTCTGCGGCTGGGAAGGGCAGATTTCCTTCTGAGGAGGATGTCGCTACCAGCGGGCACTGTGGGCACTGTGGTGGCATTCGGGCACAGCTCTCTGCGGTCCCTGCGGGTGCTCGTGCGACAGCCGCGACGGACAGGGCGCCCTCTCACGACAGTTCGCACGCTTCCCGGGGCCAGGCAGCTGCCAAGGTGGGCAGGGCGCAGTCCGATGACAGCTTGGACACGGCAGGCGGTTGCGCGGCTGCTAGGAAGCCAAGGGCAGACTCAAGCGACAGCTCGAACGCTCCAGGCACCCCTGCGGCCGCTCGGGAGCACCGGGCACCCTCCGACGGCAGCTCGGAGGCCTCGCGATGTTTTGCGAACGCCAGGAATGAGAGAGCAATTTCAGACGACAGCTCGCTTGCCGTGCGACCTGGCATGGCTGCCGCCAGGACGGACGGAGCGCCCTCCAGGGACAGCTCGGAGGCTGTGGGTGGCCGTGCGGCTGCCAGGGGGGACGGATCACTCTCCGACGACAGCATGAATGCATCGAGAGGCCGTGGGGCCGCCAAGGTTGAGAAGGCCCTTTCCGACAACAGCTCGGGCACCTCGCGTGGTCGTTCTGCGGCCGCCAGGAAGAAAGACAGGGCAATCTCCGACAGCAGCTTGGGCGCCGCGAGCGCTCGAGGGGCTGCGACGGTGAACAGGGCACTCTCCAATGCCAGCTCGGAGGCCTTCCGAGGTCGTGCAGCCGCTGGCAGGGGCAGGGCCACTTCCGACGGCAGCTCGATTGCTGCAGGCGGCCGCGCGGCTGCTGGGAAGCAAAGGGCGCCCTCCAACGGCAGCTCGGAGGCCTCGCGAGGGGCCGTCAAGACTGGCAGGGCGCCCTCCGACGACAGCTCCGTCGCTGCAGGCGGCCGCGCGGCTGCTGGGAAGCAAAGGGCGCCCTCCAACGGCAGCTCGGAGGTCTCGCAAGCTCGCGCGGCCGCCACGAAAGGCAAGGAGCCCTCCGACGTCAGCTCGGACACCGCAGGCGGCCGCGCGGCTGCTGGGAAGCAGAGGGCGCCCTCCAACGGCAGCTCGGAGGCCTCGCAAGCTCGCGCGGCCGCCACGAAGGGCAAGGAGCCCTCCGACGGCAGCTCGGCGGCCGCCAAGAAGGGCAGGGCGCCGTCCGATGCCAGCTCACAGGCCTCGCGAGGTCGGCCAGCAGTCAAGCAGGAAAGGGTACCGTCCGGGGACAGCTCGGGCACCCTCGGAGCCCAGCTGGCTGCCAGGGAGGATAGGGCCCTCTCCGACGACAGCTCCCACGCTGGAGACGGCCGTGCGGCTGCTCGGAAGAAAAGGGCAGCCTCTGACGGCAGCTCGGAGGCCTCGCAAGGTCGCGCTGCCGTCAAGGAGGCCAGGGCAGCGTCCGACGACAGCTCGGGCGACTTGAATGCCCGAGCGGCCGCGAGGAAGGATCGGGCAAATTCCGACCACAGCTCGAGCTCTTCACGCGGTCGCTTAGGCTCCAGTGGTGGTGCAGCTGCCAGGGCACTCTCCCCCTCCTCGCGTGGCTCTGCGAAGGCTCGGGCCGGCGCGATCTTTGCCAGCAGGTCGCGCGCCTCCTCAGGCAGCGAGGCAGTCCATGGCAAGACGCCGTCGACAGACAGTTGCCGTGGGGCGGAAGCTTCTGATGCCCGTGCAGCGTCCAAGAAGGGCGGGGCGTCCTCCGACGACAGCTCCGACGCCGCAGGCGTCCGCGCTGCAGCTGGGAAGCAAAGGGCGCCCTCAAACGGCAGCTCGGAGCCCTCGCGAGGTCGCGCCGCCGCCAAGAAGGACAGGGCTTCCTCCGACGACAGCTCGGTCGCCGCAGGCGGTCGCGCGGCAGCTCAGAAGGAGAGGGCGCCCTCCGACGATAGCTCGCAGCCCTCGCGAGGTCGCGCGGCCGCCAAGGGCAGGACGCCCTCCGCTGGCAGCTCGCGTGCCGCCTCAGGCGGCGGGGACGCCAGGAAGGCCAAGGCGCCCTCGGACGGCAGCACGGGCTCCTCGCGAGCCCATGCGGCCGCCCGCGAGCCCTCCGCCGGCAGCTCGCGAGCCGCCTCGGACGGCGGCAGGCTCGCCGGGATAGAGTTGCTCCTCCTCAGAGGTAGCCGACAATCTTGTATCGTAGTTCCCCGCGTTTGAGAATAAGAGTGAGGAGGCGGGCGCGGGGTTGGTCGCGGAGTGGGTCGCCAGTGGTTCGCGGGATGGATCGCGGGGTGGGTCGCGGGTGGGGTCGCGGGCGGGTCCCGGGCGAGGACGACGACAACAACAAACAACAGATATCAACACTCATTTTGATATTGCCTGCTTTTTATCTTCTCGCGTGCCATTCAACACGTATGTCTTAAACCCTCGATGCCCGCCCTTTTCGTTTTCGATCGTGCCCCCCATCGGGGTATGCCTAGCACCCCGCAGTGGCCGATAAGAGTGAGGGGGCTATTACGGTCGACGCGGCCGTCGAGGCGGCGGACTTCCTGGCCCTCGCCTTCGCCTGATGCTCGGCCCCCTCGTTTGTTTCTGTTTGTTCCCCATCCTCCTCCTCCTCCTCCTCGTCCTCGTCCTCCTCCTCCTTCTCCTCCTTCTCGTCCTCTTTCTCCTCCTCCTCCTCCTCCTCCTGCTCCTCCTCCTGCCTGGGGTGGGTCGCGGGTGGGTCGCGGGATAGGTAGCGGGTGGGTCGCGGGATGGGTCGCGGGATGGGTCGCGGGTGGGTCACGGATGGGTCGCGGGTGGGTCGCGGGTGGGTCGCGGGGTGGGTCGCGGGTGGGTCGCGGGTGGGTCGCGGGGTGGGTCGCGGGTGGGGCGTCGACAACAAAACAAAACAAAACGAAACATCAAGAATCACCGCGGGAACCCACTTCAGCCACGCACCCGGGGATGGTGTAAGTCCGTTCGGCCCCCTCGCTCTGATCGTTCTTACTTGGCAGGTGTAGTTGGCGCAGCACCTGAAACAGAGGAAGGGGGGGAGGAGATAAGGGATAAGGGCGAGGCAGAAAGATGGAGCACGAGAGAGATTAGCAGGAGTGGGGTTACGAGCAGGAAGACAAGCGGCAGAACCGGACGGGCGGTCGGGCGGGCGGCCCCTGACGGACGGGTCGCGTGCGTGGGCCCAGACAGCCTGGTCGGGCGCGCGGGTCGCTGACGCGTCAGCCCGTGTGAATCACGATGATGTCTCGAGCGATAGCGCGATTCCCAAGTAATTTGTGAGGAAGTCCAGAACGAGAGCGTGATTCCTGAGTGTCGCGGGTTCGGCGTTTGAATAAATTGCGAGGAAATCCCACGCGAGCGACAGCCCGATTTTGAATCCATTGGCAGGAGGTATCAGGTCCGCGAGCCCCAGGAGGTGCACTTCAATGGAAAAACGCAGCGTGCACCAGAGGGAAGGGGATCATAGTTCTAAAGTTGTGAGGACTCAACAACAGCACCAACAACAGCAGCAGCAGCAAGTATGTACATACTGTTCTATATGACTTGCTCGCGTGCCTTTTTACACGTATGTCTGAATCCCTCGGCACCC